TAAAATTTCAAAAACATCTTTCTTGACGAATTTCTTGATGTTAGTTTAAACATAATCTGATCTGGGAATTCTGATCGTATTAAACGCAAAGAAATTGTACACGTTGTTAAAAAAGAATAATGAATAACATACCTACTGATGTTCTTAATAGCATTTTAAGTGAAATCATGCAATAAAAGCGTACAATAAAAACTTTTATTGCACAGGATCCTATGGAAGCCAATATTTACACTTCAAATTATGTAAAAAATTGCCACTTTTGACACGATAGCAGATAAAAGTAATTACGATATTTATTGATTTATTTTATATATATTTTGTTTTTTATCTATACAGTATTTATCTATAGTTCAGTTTATTTCGAAACAGCATACCATTTTTTAGTGAGTGGGATAAGCACATGTCATAAACCACATTTCAGCTGGACTAAATGTCTGATGATGAGTAATTGCTTTTAAATATGTAAATTGTTTTTGAAACCAGCAGTAATTCTCTAGAGGATATATTATAAAAAAAAAAACAACGTATTTATTAACGCGTTAGCCTATTTAGGCTTCAGCTTCTGGGAATTCACAGACAAGACACAAGCGCAGCAGACCGGATAGTAATCCTAATAATAACGCTCTTTCCTAATTATACCAAATTAACAGCAGCGTAAACTACTAAATATATAAAACGACTCATTTAACAAATTAAATACTTTTCTGGAAATCTACGCTATTTTGGACACCACAAGGGATTCGTCATATCTGGAATTCCGTGGCTAGGCAGATGGTATCGCATTATTAACATTTTTTGTCCTTAACAGATTTTATACTAAAAGTAATTGCTATTAACATGGAAATACTTTGATTAACTAATGAACTAGGTCGTCAATAAAATAAATGAAATATTTTTATAGTACAGATGTGGACAATTAAATCTTTCCGATCTAAATTTGTGAAATATTGAAATTTTAGTTATACCTACAGTACCCTCCTGAAGTATGGAATAAATTCAGTAAAAACGAAACAGTTTTTTTTGGAAGAAATCCTCGAATAGGTCGATTTTTAATTTAAAGGAAAGTTTTCGAGTAAATGACGATTGAATGATAGAAAACGTAAATTCTATTCATTAAAAAAATAACAATTCCTATGTCAAGCAAATACAATTCATTAAGTTTTCTACCTAAATTAAGTGTTCAAATTGCCACCCACCGACTTCTTGACAATACGCAAGTCTGTGTAGAAATTCTTCTTGTACATTATGAATTATTTCTGGGGTAACTCTGTTGTGTATTTCATCTATAATACAATTTTAGAGTTCTTCTAAATTATATGGTCTATTAACGTACGCTTTGGACTTTAAGTATTCCCATAAGAAATCCAGGGGTGTAAGATCTGGGGATCTCGCGGGCCATTCTATCGGTCCCCGTCTGCCGATCCACCTCCTAGGAAAACAATTGTCTAGAAAATCTCGTACAAGGCGCGCATAGTGCGGAGGTGTACCGTCTTGCTGAAAGCCTATGGTGTCATCAGGAATATCAGGGTCATTGTCGTCAGAAAAAATACTGCAAGCGCTGGAACAAGGTAATTTTGTAAACACTCTAAATATCTTTCTCTTGTAAGGGTTCCGTCAAAGAAGAAAGACCCTACTATTCTGTTGTCAACTATTCCAGCCCACACATTTAATTTCTGTGGGTGTTGGGTATGTGTCTCTGCCATCCAATCAGGATTTTCCCGACTCCAATACCTACAAGTTTGACGGTTCACTGTACCATTGAGACAAAACGTGGCCTCGTCTGAAAAAAGTATTTGCCGGTGTAAATCTCTATTTACTTGACATAAATCCATCATAATTTCACAAAAATGTAAGCGGCAATGAGTTCCTGCACAAGTTGAATTTTGTAGGGATGATATTTTTCCTGCCTCAGGATACGTAGCACTGTGGTCTGACTAATTTCATTGTTTAATGCAACCAATCGTGAAGTATTATGAGGATTATCTACCATACTTATCAAAATGTTCTGTTTGTGATCTTCACTAACGCTTGGACGTCCAGGTTTTGGAATATCTACAACATTGCCAGTTTCTCTAAATTTAGATTCTATCTTACTGACTGTTGATTGGCTGATACGGCGATCTGGATGTTTTTCATTAAATAAATCGCAAACTTCCTGCTGCGTTCTAGTCTTATCCCCGCATCCGATAAGAATTAAAATTTCAATTCTTTGTGTGACAGTTAAATGTGCCATAATACTTTAAATTCAACAATAATTTTTATATCGCTTACAATACTTAGAAAGTCGGTATTACAGTGACGCTTTGTAAAGATTTACACCTACGTCATCCATAAAAAACTTCAGGCATTTCGAAAAACTAAATTTGATAATGTTTTTGCTTTATTTTAATTGATTTCGGTTTTCTAACATTCAATCGTCATTTACTCGAAAATAATTACATTAGACGTTGTATTTTGAACTTCCGACTTTATTTTAGGTCTACTTTGACAAACTGGGTTTGAGTCGTTTCTGTGGCATTTCATAGAGGAATATTTGTTTTTATATAGATATAAGTAATTTATTTAGAAACCATCACTGCATTGAAAAAAATAATAATAAAATTCGATTACAGAATGCTTACAACAGAAAAAAATCTGAAATGCCGGGTATAAAAATTTCAATTAAAAAAATTGTGAACCAAATGGACTGATGTATTATCTAAAATATACCCAGTAGCGTTGAAATTGTGGGGTTTTATCACTTTCAATATTCTACCTGTTTTTCAAGTGTTATAAAATTTAACCACCCTGTATCATACAATAAAAAAACTGATAATAAAAAATTAATCAAACACTCAAGTAATTAAGTTACGATAATGATCCAATAATTATTATATTTATTATAAAGTATTATGACAACTAAGCAAATTAAAAATACATTATGATGTATTAAAACCGTAAATCCACTATTCAAGTATTTATAAAGAATATAAAAATATTGGAAACGGATTAACAGGAATTAAGCGGAATTTAAACTTTCAGCAAAACCACATTTACATTGAATAGTAAGCCTTGGTAACACTTTATTGTCCACTGATGTACCTACAACCTACGCAATCACAAAGGATCTTAATCTTTATAAGAAATATGATTGAGTATTTACGCAGGTAAATCTGTAACAGTAATAAACTACAACAGAATGATTGTTCAGTTACTTTCTACCTGAAGCTAAAGATGAAAATGGAAATTATTTTCACCGAGGCTGAAATTTTAACCAAAAATCTACACCACCGGATCAATTCAACCGCCGAATTATTTATTAATGTTTAATTTGCGACGTCAGGCGGTCCTGTTCAGAAATGGCAGCCGTTCGGATAGTTTATCGGGTCCAATTTATGCAATAGCTGGATGCAATTTGCAGAGAATGTACACGCCAGAATTCCCATTTATCAGAAGCTGTTTATGAAGCTAGTTATCCCTGGGAGGTATGCCGGTTCCCGTTGGAACCGAGATGGTGGCACAGCCAGTGGCGCACTGGGTGATTAGAGAAAATTGATTCTAGCACGATAATTTTAAGATTCTTTGTATTTATTATGGTTTTTTTAACTGAACTATGGATCAATAATCTTAAGAAAGGATATTACATTTAATAGGTGACTCCACTGCGTACCTATTATCAAAATAAAAAGCATATATTTTCACCATTAAGTTTTGTATTTTTGTATTTTTTGTATTTTTAACATGTTTTAAATATTTTCAGTGTATTTTTTACACATATTTGACGAGTAGTGCCTTATTTTTGTTCTATAGACCATGGAACATGACACTGTCAATTCAAATATTATTTGTTCTAACCATAGACCTTATAAACTACTGGACTCGCCAAACTGTCATTTTGCCAATCGCTCAGACGTGTGCGAGAGAGATGGAGCTAGTAAGAGCTTAAGCTTCATTCACAGAATTTCGACTGCTGCGCGCTACATTTAATTCAACCAATCACCTAGCTGTACTCGATTCCTTACCCCTTTTTTCTGTTGGGGCGTATTCAAAGACTTTATAAAAATAATATAGAGACTAAAAGAGAAAAAAAATTAATTTTTTCCAGTAGTGTAGGTATGTAAAAAGGTTTATTATATTACTGTCCTAATTATAGTACAATATTTGAACTGTTTCAGCTATAATATTCCAAATAGTTTTTATAATGCCTTATTTATGAAGTTCTCCATTTATTTTCCTCATATCGTAAACTCGATCTGTTAAAATTACTGCAAGCTCTTCTGACGTAGTTGTTTCAGTTTCTTGCTTTGCAGAACTGTATAAATTGAAACATATCGATGCTTTCTTCGTTCAACATATTATTTGAAGATAATTTTTGCTGGAGCACATTATAAGCACATTTCAGTTAACACTTCTTCTTTATATTCGATTTGATGTTAAAAAATAATTTGAAGAATAACACATTTAAAATTTTGACGTTAAAATGACATTTTATTTTGAGAATGGGGGAAATAATATAATCTAATAAGTCATCATCAGACAACTCTACTTGGTCAATATTTTCAGAAAGATGTGAAAAGTATAAACATGTTGGTACCATCATAACATCTGTCCTACCTATGAAATTTAATTTTTTCTCCACTTAACACATTAACTTAAATTTATCGCAGAACACGATTGCACCACATTTAGTTTTTAAGAATCTTTCACATACACTAACTAAATCACGCAAAAATTCAAGAAATCAATCAATAATGTCAATACAGACATTTACTTCAAAAGTTTGTTTACGGCATTTTGTACCGGTATACCCGTGCACCATCATTTGTTTTACCGGTATTTGCCTCAACTAGCTTCATCTGCCTTGCACACATCAGCGCGATTGACCTCTCTTTCTAGGGCCAGTCCATAGTTTACTAGGTCAATGGTTCTAACTCGGTAAAGATTATTGTTCTGAATCGGCTTCTGACAACGTATCTGAAGCATAAGATGTCAAATAAGTTAACGTCAAAGCATTCCTTAACATGAACATTTTGTTGATATTTCTGGCTGTATCCTGGCAAGTCGTAAGTTCCAATCACCTTTTTCAAACAAAATACATCGACACTCCTCTGGATCACTTCACCCTCAACACCAACAATACCTTCAAGCTAAGATACCTGGTGTACGGTCAGTTCCACGTCAAGGGAGGGCCCATATTCATCTACACAGGCAATGAAGGTGATATCATGATGTTCGCCCAAAATACTGATTTCATCTTCGACATCGCTCCAATCTTCAACGCTTTAATAGTGTTCGCCGAACACCGATATTATGGGGAGTCTCTGCCATACGGAAACCAAACTTTTTCCAGACCAGAAAACCTCGTTTACCTAACGACAGCCCAGGCACTAGCTGATTACGTTTACCTCATAGAAGAACTTAGAAGGAACTTCTTCAGTACGATGATCAGTAAGGATACGTATCCTTTCGTAGCTTTTGGTGGATCTTACGGAGGTATGCTAGCAGCTTGGTTGAGGATGAAATACCCAAATTCTGTGCTAGGAGCTATAGCATCTTCAGCCCCTATTTGGTTCTTCCAAGATTTAACTCCTTGTGAATTGTTCTACGATACCATAACCAGAGTGTTTGCTCATTTTGGTACCGATCATTGCAACAAAACTATCAAGGCTACCTGGGATGTTATACGAAATGTGACCAAAACAAAACAAGGCAAGTTATCTGTCAAACTATAATCATTAATATCAAAAGAAATTTATAGGTTGCTTATATTCTCTTTGCAGGAAAACTATATCTCTCTAGTTTGTGGAAGATCTGTAATAATCTTCAAACTGCTGCTGACGTCGACAAACTGATCGATTGGTTGAGCAACATCTATGTCAACCTAGCCATGGTGAACTACCCTTACCCCACAAATTTTCTAACTGCCCTACCAGCTTACCCAGTCAAGATATTTTGCGACAAGCTCAACAGCTTCAAAATCGAAAACCATGGTACTCTTTTGGAAGCACTGGGGGCAGCTTTAGAAGTGTATACTAACTACACGGGCAACACCAAGTGTAACAATATCAACGTGACTTCGGAAGATCTAGGAGAATACGCTTGGGACTATCAAGCTTGCACTGAGTTAGTGATGCCCATGTGTTCCACAGAAAATGACATGTTTGAGACCGTACCCTGGGATTTCAAGAAGTACTCCGAAGACTGCTTTAAAAAATTCAACGTTAACGGGTCTAGTCCTTACTGGCCAGCTCTACAATACGGTGGAAAAAACTTGAGATACTTTTCTAATATAGTATTCAGCAATGGTCTGATGGATCCCTGGTCTTGCGGAGGGGTGTTGCAGAATGTTTCTTCTAGTGTTTGGTCTGTTAATATAACAGATGGTGCGCACCACATCGACTTGAGGGGCTCGCATCCTGCTGATACGAACTATGTTACCGAAGCCAGAAAGTTTCATATAAGTGCTATAAAAAAGTGGTTGAATATGAATTAGCTATGACCCTGACTTTATTCTGCATAATTGCTTTTCATATATTTGTCTATTTCAAAATTGTCATGATAATTTCAGAAGAAATAAGAATTTATAAGAAAATTAAACGAAAATGACTACAAAAGTTTTACATATTTTTCAACTTTCTGATTACCAAATCTATAGGGTGTAATTGAAAGTGGGGTTTCCTTCCAGTATTCTAACCTTTGCTATCTTTTGTGCTATAATAGTATCGTAGACCTGGCTTTTGTGGTTCCCTAAAAATGTATTGAAGACGTTGCGAAAACTCAACCAAGCTGCTCTCTCAATATATGTCATTGTTGTTATGAAATGTTCGTCGAGAAACATTTTTCGTATTTGCTTTCCGTCAAAGATGCCTTCTTTCAATTTTACATCACCGAGATTCGCAAATTGACTAGTTAATATTGGAAACAATTTCTGCTTATAATCGGAGCCTTGAAAATTATTTCATCAGACAAAGTTTTATATGGACCGAAAGAAGCAATATTTTGTAGGGTCGATCAATGGTTGCTTTATAAGTACATATCGTGACTTCCTGGATTGAGTGCTTTTGTTGTCACTCATCGTTTATTTTTGTTGTGATTGTTTCGGGCTCCACTATCCTATAGACATAAGAAGCAGGTATATTTGGTCAATCAATCAACTCATCAATTCCATATTTACTTTTCTGCAGAACGTATCTTCCCTTAACGTGGTTGGGTATGTATGTATTTCCATTGTATAACGCGTTCAAGGTCTGTTTCAATTCATTCATCAAACCATGAAAATCTGTACAGTGCACCAAAGAGCCATTGTCTTCTTTACTGAAGAACTTTGGAAAGTCCTTTTCTCGACCTTTCGATCTCTGTGAAAAGTTGGTTTCATTCCTAATACTGCCAATCTTTGGCTCTTTAGTTCCGCAGCCAAAGATTCAGCTCATCGTTTGGAAGCTCTGTGTCTCTAATCAAAGCGTTCAACTCTTTATTATTAAATGGGTCTGGAAGTTTTGTTTCAGCTACCATACGTATTTGTCATCACTTTTTCTGTGTTACCTTTTTCTGTTTCAATTTCGCTTTCTTCCCTTTCTGCTTCAACATTGTCTCTGCTTCCGATTCCCCCTTCTTCGGACTCAACTCTAATAGGAACATCATCCGTTGAAGAACTGACGTCTATACGTTCACCAACAATCAGTTCAGATCTTCTTGCTTGTATAATCGAAGAAACGGAACAACATTTACACGGAAGTAAATAAACAACTGTCATATGGTCCGTAATGTCTGAACAACAACTTTTCGGCATAGATTTTCAACTAACTCATATGCGGGCATTGTTAATAGCATCCTGATTAGACCTTTCATTCTACAATAGAAATTAACTGATTCCTTTTTTTACAAAATGAAATGGAACAAAAATTTACCGATGGCTTTTTAAGAAAGTAAAATTGTATTAAGGTAACTTGATCTAAATCAATTTATTTTCACCTTAAGAAGCCGGATACAGTGTGCCTGTAGCTACTTGTATATTGTTTCATTTTGATATAAGCTGTTAAAATAAAGCGCCACTAACAAAACACCCTTTATACGTGTGGCTCCCAAACAACACTTCTCAGTTTAAAATCCACCACTTATAGAGAGTATTTAGCGCTTCCATCTCCACCCGCCGACTCAATCCAATAAACGATAATTACTCCGTCCTACTGCACTGGAATTTTCGATCCGGTGGAGGAGGGGGGGCGGGCTCCGAGAGCGGGAGAGTGATTAACTACCGTTCTGCAGAGGCAGTGTGAAATCAGTCCGCCAAATTAAATCCGGCCTCAGATTATTACATACCTCAGTGACTGTTCATAAATATCCGCTGTACTGGCTCTCGCTGCCTTCGCATTCGGGTCCCAAGCCTCGATCCATTGTCTATGTCATCGCCGGATGGAAATTCTTATTGGAAACGCGTTCCATCAGAAGTGGGATAACCTGAAATTGTTTTTATTTCAATCGCGACACGTCATAGCCGTATGGAGGATAGCACATAATTATCCTATATATCATACGATGTTCTATAGATATACGGTTTTTAGAAATTTATAATATGATTGCTACATTTATACAGGGGGGGCTCGTGAAAACGTCTATCCTCATCTCCTACACATCTATACAGGGTGTTTCAGGATTAAGTCGACAAACTTTAAGGAGATATTCCTCATAAAAAAAATAAGAAAAATATCAAGTATAATTTTTTCCAGAGACGCTTCATTTTCGAAATATAGGGCGTTAAAGATTTTTAAAAAAATTTGAATTTTTTAAATAACTTCTAAATGAAGAAGGCTATTTAAGCCAAACTTGGCATGACACATCTTCTTATAAGATACCATTTTTCCGAAGAAGTAGAAGTCCCGCAAGCAATCAGTGGCGGAGTTATGGGGACTCAGACTCATTAAATTATAAAAAAAAATTAATACTAAATATTAAAGTTTGTCGACTTAATCCTGAAACACCCTGTATAT